GAGGAGCTCCTCGACAGGCACCGTCCGAAGCTGCCCTGTTCTGCAAGGAGTGGACGCAGTTGTTAACCATGTTCTTTATGGAATTCTACAAGTAAATGGAATACAACGAAACGAATGTAATTATCTCAAGAGGGCACACTAATCCATCCACAGACCACTAAAAGAGTTCAAAGTACGTGAATCATCTGCACGTGAATAAAACGATCGATTTTCAGAAACATTATAAAATGAAATACGACTATTGATCTAACCATTAATCTAAGATCTACGACAGGACTGTTATACATGCCCAAATAGGTTGACAAAATATTGGACAGCTGTACGCTCGCTGTTCAACACCTCTGCCACCAAATGGATACGGTACTGACAAGACGGGTGTTGAAAGCAGCTGCGAAGCTTAAAATTGAAACGACGACAACTCTCACGAAGCGCAGACAAGAAAAACAAAAGTTGGCAACTGTTAGAACTTCGATCTCAATTATATTTATTAGACAGATACAATTCGTTACATCGTTTTGTTGTGGAGCAACGTTGATTTCTCATTCCAAGAGTTAATCACGCATTCTGAATGAATACGTGATATAAACAACTAAGTGGCAGAACAAGGTAAAATCTGTTTCTTTCATACCAAGCGAATTGGCGAAAGAGAAGCGATTTGACAGGAACTATAACCCGCAATTTTTCCCTCACATGACTAAGGATCTAACAGTAAACAATCTTCATGAAAATGACCTCAGTGACAAGGAGATGTGCGTAATCCAAAAGATTACAATTTTGTAAGAACTTTTACCGATAGCAAAATGGACCTAGCCACTTTAATGGATTCAACGATGACCATGGATTCTCCGAAGCATAAAAACATTAACATATCCATATTTATTGCTTTCCAATGGTTGCAAAGTGGTCGAAACGAAAATATTTGTCTTAACACAAGAGCGAAAATTAAATCAAAAAGTGAAGCCATAGAAAACACTGATTCACCTATGTCATCCATAACCACCAAAATACAATGCAGAAAGTGAAAGTCTAAGCATTTGTACCTGTCTTTGACCAGCACATATCACAGCAGGTCAAACTACAATCTTCCACTTTGAAACACAAATTCCACGAAGGCGCGATTCGCCAATGGACATTGGAGGATGCTTCTTGGTCGAAACCAATTTTAACTCCGTAAAGGAAACCATTGGTACACACACAAAAATTCCACAGTTGTGACGAAGCTGCAAGGAACTTCGTGCTAACCACACATCCTGTGGAAGATAGGTAAGCATCGCATGCATGAAAATTGAACAAATCGGCAGATGCTGCAAAATATCTAAAAGAAAATAATTGTTAGAAAACGTTTTCAATATTAAAATTCTTTTCAGTATTAAATATTTATTAATGTTAAACAGAAAGATGCTACTTTCTACCTTCAACACCCGCATATATACAGCGTACAACAGCAAGACAATTATTACGTAATACCTATGGAAAAACAATAGGACACTTTAAGGCATGAGCGTATATAAGGGTATATATTACGTGCGGAACTACTGAATTTCTGTACATCTCAGCTCTTACCTTTTGGATGACGAAGTTTCTTTGTGTTGCGGTACGTCGAGAATGGTGGGCTATTAAATCATTCTGAAACGGGTTGATGGTATCTTGGAATATCCGTATAGCGGAATTAGGTTTTACTGTCATAAACAGTCTGCAAAATGATAATAGCCATAAAACCGCATTGCAATTTTCCAGGTACAGAGACCGTTCTGATACATCACCGCAGGAGTGCAAAATCATCTC